AATAATGGTTACGTTCAATCTTCCGCTCAGATTTAGGTTCCACTAATATGATAATTGGACACAGACATTCAAATATCTCTCTCATATATTYACCCTCTACAAGTCTCAACAAAAACTCTCGACCCTCTAACTTCTAAATATTATAAACACTATACTGAGGTCCAAGAATTAAAAACTCACAAATTAATTGCGAATAAATTACCCTAAACATAGTGATCTCGATCTGCCCTTCTATGCCGCTAGCGACTCGAGTCACTGTCTCTTAATGCCACAAAATCCATCATAAAAATGGTTAAGAAATTAATCTCATAGCTTAACCTAGATGATGAAAAAAGGGAGGGCAGTGTCTCTTCGTAACGTGAAACACAAACCCTCACGCGTCTATTTGTTTTCCGCCTATATGTCACAGCATTAGATCGTCTCAACGCTGCCCACTCGAATCAGCTGGCTCCTGCAGCAAAATTCCTTCTTTCCTTCTTTCTTCTTCCAATTCTTTATCCCTTCGATTATGGTTTGGCTCCATCCATTCTAACCGTAAATGCATTCAATTATACCGGATTTAGACATGACATATCAATTTATATTCACAATTAATATTAATTTATGAACAATTTATCATTTTATTATTTCATATGGATTTCTAACTCCAATCAAAATACTATTTTTTTTCCTAGAAAAAACGTGTCCATTATCTATAGGAAGAGTCTTTGTCTTTTTGTAGATATTGTTTTCAACTAAGGAATTAAGTGACATTGAAAGGAAGTGAAAATGCAAACAAATAAAGACAATGGTTCTATCTTTTTCTTTATATCATTTCATAGCCAACAAACTATTAAATACGTCTTCGTTTTCGTTTAAGTCCAAAATGAATACTTGGAAAAAAAAAAGGTCCACTTTAATCCAAATTGAAAATAGATGAGAGGAAAGGAAATTGACAAAATATGATTTAACCAATTTCTAAAAAGTTAATGTTCTTAATATTTTGAAGCAAATTAGTTGCAGAAGTCACATTGTGTCAACTAAAAGTAAAGTTATATACTAGAAAATTTGATCAAAGCTAAGTTTGATATTTGAATCTCATTTCCAACATTCTATACGAGAAGATGTGTTTTATTATCAGTTTTTTTTTCTTCCCAATATGTACATAATTTAATTAGATAAGACACATATTACTATATAAATAGTTAATTGCTCAATCTTCCACTACATACAATTATTGAAATAAAGAAAAAAAAAACTCTGTTGTGAGGAGTGAAAATTAATTGTTACCGCCACATGTCGCGCTATCAAGATCGAACCCAAATTGATGGTTATCTCCATGATATGGTCAACAAGTAAGAGTTCTAGTGAGACCACGGTCCTCGACTCTAGTCTTCAACCAACCTCCCTCCCATGATCACGAGAATGTACGAATTAAAGATGTAAATGCGATTGAATGTGTCTGTGATTCCTAATTCATATTGTTTCTTCCTCGTTCACCTATAAAATGAAACAATATGGACAATGACGAGGTATGTGTGAATCCTTACTAAAAAGACTAACACACTAACTTGTATTTACTTGAGTATTAGAGTGTTCACCTTTTGTCTTATGAATTTCTTTTACACATATGAGATTCAATCCATCGTTTGGAACAGATATTCTACGCTCAAACAAACTTTTTTCTTTTATCAAATTAACATCAAATGGATAAGATCAAATCAAATTGACCAACTATTTTTTCTTTTCAAAATTATGAGTCAAACCAAATTATCTAAATTCTAAAACTAATCAAATCTAACTGGTTCCATTTCAACTTATCACTCCTCATTATTGTTGGTGTGGATCAAACTGGATATCTTTTTTCCTAAAAAAAAATATTGTGTGCACTGATGTAAAAAACTGAGCTTAAGAATAAAATTAAGTAACCATAATAGTCCTTTTTTAAACCACAAATCCATAGGGACTGAAAATCAATTTTTACGATCTATAATGATTACCTACCTTAAAAATTAGTAATTTATATAGGTTATCAACATCAAATATTATGGTAAGATCAGAGGTTACCCCATGAAATTAATGGAGCTGCACATAAACGGGTCAGACTCATGAGAATCAAATTTTTTTTCAAAGACTGAAAATAAAGTAAAAAGAAAAAAAAAAGAAGGGAAGTTAAAAAGAATAAGGTGTTGAAGAGAGAGAGGGAGAGGTGGGGCCCACAGGGGAATAAGAAAATTCGCGTTTTCTCTGTGTCTGTCCGTGTTTGTGCCACGTATTTATTCGGAAATTTCGTGGCCGCAAATCCCCAACCCCTTCTCCATATCTCCACCTCAGCCGTTCAGATTTTCTACGATCTCATCCCGCCCACGTCGGACTCGCCCCCACGTGACAGATTCTGCCACCTCGTCTTTCTTTTTCTTTTTTTCTTTTTTTAAATTTGAATTATTATTCCAAGATAGGATAATGGCCATAGCCCCCAAACATGGTCACCGTTGCTCCACGACAATCTCTCCACCGCATTCCCCCATCTCTCTCTCCCCCGAAAAAAAAAAATAATACATACATATATATATATATATTTAAGACTTGTCATTTTATCCTTCACATATTCTAATAAATAATAAGTTTCATCTTGTGATTTTAAAATTTTCCCTTTGATTTCCATGGTTTAAAATTTTTAAATTGGTCTACTTCATTTCTATATTGTATTTTTTGTCACGGGGAAGATATTTACCTATATGATAACGATAATGGTTATTTGTGAAGTTTGACTAAACTACATAGACGAATTTGAAACTAAACTCAGAATGTAGGAACTAAATTAAAAAACTTAGAAAGTGTGCGATGGAAATAAAGAAAATTCAAAGTTAGAAATGGATAAAAAAGTAAAATCTTTTCTTATGACTTGAAAAACCTAAGATTCCTCTCAAGGGGATGAAGGCAATTGATAATTTCAAAAATTGTTTACGGTAGTAAATCTGTAATAAAAAAAAAAGTGTTTGTGATTGTTCCAAAAGAAATGAAATAAAAGGGACGGCAGAGCTAGGACAATTATTGTATGAGATGTTTGCCTAATGCTCGATGCAGATGTGCATAATAGATCGATATGAACATCATGAGCTATCCAGTAATAAAACATGTTGTTGCTGATACTTTCTTCTTGATTCCTTCTTCCATAACCCGAGCTCGGAGAAGGAAGAGATAAGAGAACCTATTTAATCAGATTGAGCTTTGCCTAAAATATTGAGGCTACATTTGTAATTTTACCTATCTTTTTCTAAAGACAATTAAAATAAACCATACCACTTAAGAGTTTTAAAGGCACCCTATCCTATGAGCTATTTGTAGAACATTTCAAAACTTTTACTGTATTTGAACATATACATTTATTTTATACCATTTCTATGACTACCATAAGTTCTTGAAATAGATACGGTGTTTGTCAAATATAATATGATGTTCAAGCCAATTTAAGATTCGAATTTGATAAAATTTGGGTATGTTTCAAAGATCTCGCCGATATCTATTTCTATTAACTATGTATATAGAAGGAAATGTAGTTATTAGGTTGTAGCTTGAGTGATAGGTAATCATCAATCACAACTTACTTACCAAGATATGTTTGTTAGGATGAGAGTGGTTGGGAAGAGTTGCTATCGTGGAAGGTTTTGTTAGTGTTGCGTATATGTATAAAATATGATAAAAACATTTTTGGTCTCCTTTTAACTTGACCAAACAGTTTTTTCATCTCACTCAGTCGAGCTATCATCTATGCCCTTAATTCATAATGTCATTTGGTTGAGACAGAAACACCTGTTAACTTATGATCTCATCGGTTGAGTTGCGCCCGTTTTAGGTCTCATTTAATTGGGTTACAATTTATTATTGATAAATGACTTCTAGTCTCATTTGATTGAGCTATAGATCTACACGTCTCGCTTATTTAAATTATAATTCACTTGGTAGTTTATAGGCTTACTTTAAGCTGAGATTCGAGTATTTTAGTCTCGCATACTAACTTATAGGACTAATGTATAATTTTTATAAGCTTCTAAGCTCATTTCGAGCTAAGATTCGAGTTTTCAAAAGTCCTGTGTGCAAACTAACAGATAAATTATTTTAATTTAAAATTAATGATCTAGTACGCAAAATTGTTTAAAAAACATTTTCTCTGGAAACTTCAGTGTAGAGAAAAGAATATATATATTTTTATTTATATATTTTATAATGGGAAAAATCTGAAAGTAAAATAAGTAATTTAAAAAATGGAATTACTGTGGAGAGAGAGAGAGAAGACAGTCTAGAAAACGAGACCACAGTTGCCACGTTGGCTACGGCGATGGCTTTAAAGAGAGGTATCAGGTTGGCTTCACGTGGCACATGTTTCTCGTGGACCACAGCCCTCCACGTAGGAAGGCCTTCGAATCTTCAGCGCATTCGGGCTTCGCTGACACGTCACCACCCAATCCCAGGAAGCCAAATAAAAATATCTGGGAGATCGAGTCCACTCAAATTTCTCCAAGATATCCCAAATTTATTTAAAATTTCACCCTCCATGAAAAGTCGACACGTGGCAACACGCTTGCCGAATGAGTGGTAGACGCCGAGTCAGTATTGGGAAGGGAGAATAATCCTCTACCAACGACACTTCAAATCATATCAAACCGTAGCCCCACAAGATTTCGCCACGTGTGAATCCCGCAGTCGGTGGATGGAATCTGAGACGTTGGACGGCCGCGATCGGCTCACGTCCATGGCACACGATGAGGCGTTTTGTGAGGTCCAATGGGGGAAACTATTAAAGATATTTATTTGTTGAGTGGAGGCGAAATATCTAAACTAGCCCTGAGAAATATTTCGGGAGATTTGTGTAAAAGGGTGTAATTTAGGGCGAAAATTAAGGGCAGTTCGCATAATATTAAGGAAATTTGTACTTTCCCCTTCCGCTCCTTTTATTCTTCGGCATTTCTTTCGGAGGGACAGATAAAAGGGAAGAACAAGAACAAGAAGAAGGAGAAAAAAATCTGCCGCTGTAGAAATCGAAGCTCTGAAGAAGAGAGAATCGGAGATTTTTTTTGGGAGAGACGAAGAAAAATGAAGAAGTGCGAGCTGTGTGGGCAGCAAGCGAGGATGTTCTGCGAGTCGGATCAAGCGAACCTGTGTTGGGACTGCGATGAGAAGGTTCACTGTGCAAATTTCCTTGTCGCGAAGCATTCTCGAAGCCTTCTCTGCCATGTGTGTCAGTCGCCGACTCCATGGACGGCCTCTGGTCGGAAGCTCACGCCGACTGTTTCGGTGTGCGAGGGATGCGTCGAAGTCCATGGAGGTAAATGCGAGCAAGGTGCGTACCAAGAGAGGCGTAGAGATAACGAGGATGTAGTTGATGACGGTGATGATTTGGAGGATGGTGAAGGTTTTGAGAGTTATGAGGGAGGTGATAGTGAGGAAGACGATGAGGAGGAGGAGGAGGAAGAGGAGGAGGAGGGGGAGGAGGAAGAGGATGAGGACGGAGAAAACCAGGTGGTGCCGTGGTCTTACGCATCTTATTCGTCGCCACCACCGCCTCCGACAGTGACCTCTAGCAGCGAGGGCGAGGTTTCAGCCGGCGCTGGTGTGACATCGAAGCGTATGAGAGATTACGGCGTGGATCTCGATTCTGATGTATGTATTTGTTAGGTTTTCTTTGCTATTTCCTTTTTCTGTGAAAATTTCTTTCTCATCGTCTGTGCCGAAGTAAATCTTTGAGGCTGTGGAATTCTTTTTTTGTTCGCTTTCCTTAAAGTACAATCGGTGTTTTCTAGAACGATAGGGATTTCAGTTCTCTTACTGAATCAAGACTCGAGTTTAGAACAGAATCGTTCTGTTTTTACGAATGATACGAGTTTCAGCCTTCTTGACCTTTGATTTTGATACTGATTCATATTTAAGTTTCCGATCTGAAATATCATCATCATTTTCCGAGTTGTTAATTTTCCAGTAATCGAAACAGTGTTTTAACTGATCGTTTGTTACTTGAATGCAGGACGAAATCGAGAGTTCTTCTGCGCGACAGGGAACCAGGCCATTTTTCAACGACGAAGCGACTTCCTCGAGTTCCCTCAGGCCACTGAAGCAAGCCAGAGTTACAGGACGTAGCCAATCAGCCAGCACCATCCCAGATGATGCAGCTTGTAAACCAGAGTTAGAATCCACGGCTGTGGTTAGATCGATCCAGAGACTCCAGAGTCGTCTGCCTAGCGACATTAACGATGCTTCCAAAGTCATTTTCGGGATATGCAAAATGAGCAGAGATCAGAATCGTTGATCCTTCACTAACCACACGACGGGAGGTAGCTAGATTTTTAATTTTTTTTTTCTCCTATTTTTTTCTTTCGGGTTTTTTTTTTCTCTTTTTCATTTTTCTCACTGATTATCTGTCACCGATTAATTCAAGGATTATACTGTTTGCTCAACTGTGTACAACCTTGAATTTCCCCTCCTTTATTTTCGTTAGATAATCTGTCATGTTTAGCCAGATATTGAATCACCCAACTACATTCTATTAACAGATTGCCCTACACTTGTGAGTGTTTCTCTTGATGCATAATCTCAGTCAATGTTAGTTAGTTGTTTAAAGGAGAGATTCTCGCGTTTTAGTTGCGCTTTGTGGGTCTCCCATCACCAGAAGATGATGATGGATATGGATGCTTTTAGCCAAAGAATCATATATTTTATGCATAAACTCATATCACCATTATCTCTTTTGGGTAGCCATCGTCATCATCTCCCACACCATTTTAGGTCCTGGAAGCCCCTTTTTAGGATTTTGAAGATAATATCCAATTCTGAACTGAAAGTGATCATATCCTGATATTATTTAATGTTCTTTAATCTTCATTTAGGTCCCCTGCGTACAATTAGAATAGCTAGATCATGGCTGACCTAACCGACCCTGTGTTTGATGGAATCTCCATATCCTTTTAGGTGCATACACATTTCAGAAAGTATCTAGTGGGGGTGGTGTGTTTGGGTATAATCCTTGACTTTTTGAATCCATATTCTTCAAATCTGCTAGGGCTTCTGATGGAGAATGATCTTATTTATTCAGTTGCCAATTCCCTGTCAGGTCAAATTAATGTCCATTGGATAATTGAGTGGTTCACTTCACATCTCTCACTATTTAGACTTGCCTATTCAAAACCAGGACTACATTCAGGCCATGGGTTGACTCCAATTCCTTGATGTTAACAGATATTGGAAACAATATCCACAATACCCATTTGCTTTTTCAAGGACCATCTTGGCCATAAGTTATGATAGAGAGAGAGAGAAGAATAAGAAGAAGAGGGGTACCACTTGGAAACAGAATAGACTTTTCTTTGCCACTCGTTTTTGAGTGATGGCTTGAAATATCGGCTGCCAAGGCATTTGTGTGGTTGAGTGTGTAGCTGGTAGCGTATGTTTATTTTTATTTTATAGGTTATGTCTTGATATATCAGACAATTTGGCGGAAGATTGGTGGATGGTTGTGGTCAAAAAGTTAGGTATAGGTAATTTCTTAGAGAAAGGAAAAAGGAGTTTTTGTGATTTTGGTTATCTCTTGCATTTAATGGTTGATCTGTGGAAGAGATGAGAGCAGGAATTGGGTTTGTTGTTGGAGACCAAAATGTTCTGTGCCACTTCGATTGAGTTTGTTGATAATTTCTGGCCACCCAAAAGATCTCTCTTGAATATTATTATTATTCATCTTTTGAGGTGAGCCGCATATGCTTTCTTTAGAAGTTAGTTATGGGTTTTGTTTTACTTCAGGTATTACAATAGAAAAGATGATATATTTACACTATATTTTGGGAAATATGCTTGCATTTTTTTTGGTATTACAATAGAAAAAAGGTAGATTTAAACTATATTTTGGTAAATATACTTGCAATTTTTATATTGACGATGGTAAATTAGAAAAAATAAGATAAAAAATGAAATGAAGAGAAACGGTCACCATTTGTACATTTGGAAAATACACGTATCAAAGTTTGACATTTGGAAAGTAGGGATTAAAATAGATATTTTAAAAGTATAGGGGTAAAAATGAAATTAACTAAAATTACCATTTTTGTGTAAAATTTAAAGACCAAAACAAATTAATTAAAAACCTATGGATGAAAGTGGGATGGTATATTCCATTTGACTCGTATAAGCAGAATGGAAGGGTTAATAATATATTGCTCTTTTTTTTTTCCTGGTGGGGTAAGATGGATTTTTATTTAGAGTTTGAACAAAGACAAATTTCGATAACTGGGTAGTCTTTGAAATCTTATTTTAATTATTTGCTGAAATTAACCTTGCAAATATTTTAATTTAATACATTTCGAAAAAAATTATATTAACTTGAAAAATAATAATTAAAAAATGTTATGTAATTTAAAAATAAAAGAATAAATAATTAAATTTTAAAGTAAAAATGAACAAGAAGTGCTCAATATTTGCTCGTGCACGTGTATCCATTTTAATTTTAAAATTTAAAATTTATCAATTTAAATTCAAACTTGAATGCAATTAAAAACCCATATTTCAACTAGTACAAAATTATGTTCCAAAAAAAAAAACTAGTAGTAAAATTTGTCTTTATATTACAACATGTGACTGAGATTAAAAAACACTGGTATTCCTACGTAGGATGAACTTATTTCGTGTGTGTTGGATGCTTTTAATTTAATAGTTTCCAAAAGATTTATTTTTTTAAAACATTTAGCTAAAAATTCAAGTGTGTTATTTAAAAAATATAAACAGAACTAAAAACGAAATTGTTTTCGAATGGACGATAGTTTTAATTTTATTATTATTATTGATGAAATTTGACAAAGAATCCAAAACATATCCTTTGGAAAAAAAAAACTAAATAAACTATGAGCAAATAAGTAAAATTTTCGAAAAACATAGAATTAGAAAAAAATAGTTATCGAGATCTTAATTTGACTCAGTACTTAAATATCCGCGTAAGAAATGATATTTTTCCATAGATACGTGGGCAAGTTAAAAGAAAAAATTATGGGCAAAACATTATTTATTTGGAAAACAGAGTAGCAATTAATATATATATATATATATATATATACACACACACACACACACACTATTGGATGGGGCCAGTAGACCAGAAGCTCGAGTTATGGGTCAATAAAGATAAGCTAAGAGCAAAACTTATCACATGGCATAACTTTAATTCATTTGAAAAAATAATTAATAAATAAACAAAGCATGCCTTGGGATTGGATGTTGCTTAAGTATAATAATTTATAATTTGTTTCATATTCTCTACAAGTTTTTATTAATGACTAAAGATTCACCGCATAATCATGTAGATAAAGTTGAGTCAATGGAAGACGTGCTCCCATTCTTCTTGTTAAAACAAAAACTTAAATTATAAATTATATCAATATTGTGTATACGTAATCTTAAAATTTTAGATTATGCTCCTATTGAATCCTTATATCAATTCGAGAATATAGCATTACAAATATGGTGGATAGAAATTCAGACTTTCCATTTATAGGAAAAGTTAAAAAGAGAAGTTAAAAATGTCTTAGTTAATGAAGCGGATAAAAAATAATAATAATAATACATAAGATGCCATGGATCTTACCATATGCTAATTTAGGCAAATTTTATCTAATCAAATTTCTATTAATGGTGTCAACAAAAATAGGTGGAAAAAAATTAAAAGCTTAGGAATACAACGAGAGTAAAATAAATTCAATACTTGAAATGTAGGACTCAAATATATAATTTTATGGCTAAATATATATTTTATTCTCTAATATTTGGATATTTTTTAATTTAGTTATTGATTCTTGATTAATATTAAAATTAGTTGACAATAAACCTACATGATTTAATACTTAGTCAATTTACGAAAATTTAGAGGAGAAAAAAACCATTAAAAGAAGAAAATTCAAATTTTACACATTCTCAAAAATTTGGAGGGATTAGGAATATTCCCCTCTGTACTTCTTTCTTCCTCTAAATCTCCGTTGGAGTGTTATGCCATAATTAGCTAATTTTAACATTTAAAATGGTGAGAGACTAAATAAAAAAAATATTAAAATACAAAAATAGAGTAAATTGAAATTTTTAAAACAACATAGACTTAAATAGTAAAAAATACATAAAGATTAATCACTAAACATATATATATATATATATATATATATATATATATATATTTAGCCTATAAAAAGAAAAGTAATGTCAATTTGGATGAAGGGATAGATTTGACTTAAATATAAATATTTGCAAAAAAATGATTGTGACTTCCCACCCATATTTAGTAACAAAATCAACCAACCATTTATATCCCATACATTTGTTGGCTTCATTTGTGTGGCTGTTCATTGAATCTTGAACCCAAATATGGAATTTTTTTATTATTCATTATTATTATTTTTTTTCTTTTGGCAAAGGTCAAATATGGAAATTGCAATCAACTTAAGTTATCCATTTTTATCTACATGTTATTGGCTTTATGCTAGTTGCAAGTTTCAATTAGCCCACTTTGGACCAAATAATCTCAAAAGAATCTCCTAAATCATTGCTTCTCGAGATTACGATAATTGGACTTTTTAACTCTTTTCTTAACCACATGTGTTTGGATCTATGAAGTTGTATTTTATACTAATTTTACGACACAACTATCTGATTCTCATAGTATTTGAGATTAAGAAAACGGAGTGAAACGGGTTTTCTCGAGTTGCTTTTAACTTATTGAAATGAAAGATTGGGACAAAATCCAAACATCCCCCCAAAGCCAAAATTATTGATGGGAGGATGATCTGACAAGAATAAGTGGCTGAAAAAGAATGGATAAAAAGAGATAAAAAGTTAGAGGTGAGAATAAAGAACACAATTTCTAATACTTCCAACTCTATCCTTCCACTCTGCTGAGGCACCCAATTTCTGCAGCCTTCCACAGACAGAGTGATGGGGAAAATGCAGAATCATATTTCACTTTCTCCAAAGTTCTAAAATCAAAATCCATAATAATAATAACAATTCTTTAACTTGAATTGAAGCTCTTAAGCAGTCTAGTCTAGTCTAGTCTAATCTAATCTATGCTKGAACAATGAAGAGAATTCAGATTGGCTCATGTTCTTCTTCTTTGTCCTTTTGTCGGATTTCGATTATGGGGTTGCTGTGGCTCTTGTGGAAAGAGAAAAATCAAAGGATTTTTCGAAGATAATTTTTGGAACATTGGGGGACGTTCAAAACCATAAGAAATCATTTTGTAATTATAGTCTCCTCGTAATTTATAATATATGATTGGAAGGTTGTCGTTGTTTAGTTGGGAGAGAGTTTCCTCTACTCAACCCTTATGTGTTCGCTTTCTTATAAAAATAAAAAATAAACAAAATACTAATATCGACCCCATATAATACAATAATACATGGAAGAAAACTTCTCATATAACTTCATTTTTTTCAAATATGGAAAAAAAAAAGTATAAAATCAAAAATAATAAATTAATATACATAATATATATACTTAAAGCACCAATAATAATGGTATAAAAATCAGATATACGAATGTTTTTTCATATTTCAACAACATACATTTATATACTTGAAACATCAATAATAGTTGTATATACAACAAATACATTAACAATATACCCAATGTAAATTAACATTAACCATATACATTATACCTAATATAAATTAAGTATATTTTAAACCAACTTACCTAACTACTTCAATARTGATATGCTTGAAAAAATAATCATTATCTTGTATATTGAAGTCATTTGACCATGAAAATGAACTTGTTAGCACCTACATCAACAAATTATTAATTCTCAGCTACATCATCTATAAGAACTATACCATYATTTCTGGTAGAAATCAATCACAATTTACCAACAGAATCTTAATTCTTAGCTACATCATCTATATTCCTATAGTTCTTAAGATAACATAATTCAAAGCTAAAAATATGGTCACTGTATTGCATACAAAATACAACAAGAGGACACTCAACCAATGACGACTGTAAAAATGAAGAATGATGTGGCAGAGATGAAAAAATTTAGGAAGAGAAGATTTTAAGAGATTAATGAAAATAGGAATGTAACTAAATTATAATAATAAGATGAGATGAAGGAATTATTGCCAGTCCATGTTGAAAAAGTAGAGTGGTTTTTCTGAGTAAAGTTTAAGGGTCATAAAGCATTGAATGAAAGCTTTATGGAAGCTTTTGGGTTTGAATTGGCACAAAGGAAGTGGGTATATTTCACAGTTCAACCATTAAAGAGAAAATCAAGCAACATATCAAATCAAACTTGTTCCAGGATTTCAGTAATTTGCATTTGCAACCACAKAAATAAACATGGCAGAAGAAAGCAAATATTATTGACATCGTAACGAAAGGCCAGACATCAACTTCAAATCTTTCAGACATTATTTTCTTATTCGTGGTTTCTTCGTCTCTGAAAACAGGGGCTCTGTAATTCAGACTCAAAAACAACAACAATCCAGTTTGCACCTCAGCTAATCAGGATGACACATGCAAGCTTTTCAACACAAACTACATGAAGAAGAAATACGAGGAAAATTAAACACAGATATACAGATTATATGGAAACTTGAAGAAATACAATCAAAGCTATAATGTTCTTAATTTGAATGTCATCATTCTGCTTTTTTTTCGGTCAGATGATCAAAATATGAAACACAATTTCCACTTGTTGAAGCAAAATCAAAATAAGGCAGAGAGTTACGCAGATATAAAGGCAGAGGCATTGGTTATATATCCTTACTTGCACGTGGGGAAATCAGTCTCTGATTTGGATATTATCTGCTAAACACCTGTGGCTGTGGCAAGAGAGGCAGCATGTTGTTATCTATTCGTATCATTTTTTTGAAAGATAATAAATCCCTAACAAATAGAAAACACATACCTATATAAAATCAAATACCTATATAAAAAGATATTGAGAATCCATTATACAAACTTGAAGATGTTGTAGACTATGAAGCACAAACATAATACATACATTAGTTTGGGTAACATGTCAAAAGTTGAATGCATATCCAACACAGCAACAATCTTGTCCATAATAACATTTAAACTGAAGTGTAAACTTTCGTTCCTTTCATCTCACAACACACACGGACACAAACGAAAATATATCATGAGAGAGCCAAGTTCATTGGGAAAGCATCATAACGATGTATGACGAGAAAATTCAAACTCTAAGAGGAAGAATCATAACCATTTAAATCAAGAGGGCGATTCATCGCTTACTTTAGAGATTGTTTCCCATTTAAAGATGAGATCTGCCCGGTACCTTACTCCCTCGTGAAATTTTCTAACCTAACCAAAAAGAAAAGGAATTCGAAATAGAGGCAAAAAGTAAAGCAGGCTTCCAGTTTAGACAGACCAAATATGGGTAAGGCGTAAGTGTAAGCCGAACTCCCTAGAAAAGTATGCTTTCTTCCAGTAAGAGAAACACTTCTTAATCTTCCTCCACCACCGAGCTTCAAAAAGGTCTAAGGTTATGGGCAAAAGGGAAGCCCACGAATATAATAGGAAACAGAGAAACTTTTAACCCCACAAGTTGTGCCCACCAACCAAGCAAGGTCCCAATTGATATCAGTTACAAAGCAGTTTCCTAATTTATCTTTAGGCCAGATACGAACCTATCCTGATTGGCAAAAGAAACCTCCCTCCTAGATCAGAAGAAGATGGTATTGTCAACACATTCCACCTAAATCCTTTAACCAGATTAGAAACTGAACAAAATTCTCACATGCTCATGACACATTAAACTTCATTACTTAATAGAATCATCACTCGATCCTCCCTCTGGAACCACTACATAAACAAAAATGAGTAAAAAAGGTACTCTAACTCAGTAAGAATTTTCATGCTTCAAATCCATTTTCCTTCCAAAGCAATTTTTAAAAAAATATACAAGCAAATTGAGGATCACATAATTCTCACATAAAAAAGTTTTCAAGAATCAAAACATTTCATCAATCAATACTTTCAAAGTAAAAAGATGCATCCTTTGGATAGCCCTTTTAAACATGTGTTTATTCATTGATACCACAAATAAATCAATCATAAGTTCATAACAATCAGTACAATCACTTAAAAGTGTGGAACTCGTGCTAGTGAATAACATCACAGACTAATTTACATTTGAAAAGAATGAGCACTACGTAATTCAACAATAAAAGAACGTAATTAATAGCTGAATCTTTTGCCTTAATAATTATTAGCAAGTGAAAAAGTGTTGCAATAACTTCCCCTCAAGTCAATTCTTTGCCACATATGGTTAAGCCAAGTATTGAAATTTCCCATTTATTTTTAGGACTTCTTATGCCGTCATTGTAGGTGAGCACATACACAAGGAGTGTAAAACCTAATTTTGTTGTCTAAAAGTTACTCTCAATCCCAAATCATGTTTTGGAAGTCAAAAGTTTATTGTATTTAAATCCCTATGCTATCTCTTTGTTTTTAAAAGATAAAACTAATATGATTGAGCCAATGTTTTGAAGACTCGTAATAAAACTTCATTGATGATAATATATTTTTTTAAGTTTAGTTCAAACCAAAAAACAAATATTTAACTATAAGGAATTTAAGATAAACAAAAAAAAGACATTTATACATAATAATGTAATTTTTTTGAATACATAATAATGTAATAAAGAAATACTCAACTACGATTTTGTACAATTTATTTCCAAATAAATTCAATGCCAAATGATAATTTCTTTTGAAACTTATTTTCGATAAATTAACAAAAATGTTATTTCAAACCAATTTCAAGTCATTTAAGATTTGTCTTTAAAAGAATGATACTTATCTAAATACACCATTTTAATATATATTATTTTTTTAATTTAAAAAGGGATAAACTTGTATAAGTTCAATTATCAAAAAGGAAATGAAATTCCAGGCAATTAATTCATAATTCATATAACATAATTTTCTTTTGAAAGTAAATTCAATAACTACATCAAAATAGTGAACTTTTGTGCGGTGTGTTGAGAACATAAAGATATAGGATAAATAACAACGTAAAGATTGCTCCTATAGTTCTACTAAATAATCTCCATACAGTAGCACTTGCAAGTTAGACGAGCAAAATATCATAGTCATAAATCAATAACAGGTACTTGAATAAATTAGAATTTGTACTGCAACAAAAAATACAGGCGACTCCCTGCAGGTACTTGGCTGTGCACCATAATCACATCTCAAATAGGGTTATATTATCTGAATCAGATATATTAATGGACCCAATTAATAAATATAATATAAATACCAACAACAATGATCCACCTAAAACAGAAAGAAGTTTAAGTGGCCAAACTTTTTCTCTTCTATATAAGACCTTTCAAGTTTCAACTCCCCCAAATATCATGTAAACAGTGAAAAGGTTACTTCAACAAATTAGCAAACCTGTTTTCCTTAATACGAGGATATTTCATTGGTAAAGTGGAATAAACAAAAGTGGAAGGAAAGCCTCGGCCTGAGGTAAGGGAATTACAGAAAATAAATAAATAATATAAACAAAAGAGAACCTTCCAATTTGTGCAAACAGAAAGTAAACGAAGGGTTTAGATAATTTCCACCAAGACAAAGCAACAATAAATAATAATATGCTCCCACAAAAGAGAAAAAGATCTCTCAACCCCCATGAAAATTTTATTGTCCGTCCTAACCGGAAAGTCTAAAGTAAAGCTCTAACAAAATTTGTACAAAGGGACTATGCTTTCATTTTTTTTTTTTTTACGAGAAAACTTTTCATTGATATGTGAAAAGAAAAAATTCCAAGATACAAACACCCAAATGGGTGAAAGAAGAAAATAAAGAACAGAAATCCTTAGAAAAACCTCAACAAGAGCAATACAAACACAAAATAGATAGATAACATTTAGAACAAAGGGACAATGCTGAATGATCTTTGCGAACTGCATGCTACTAAGCATGAAGAACCATAAGAATTTCAAAAGAAGATTCCACGAACGTCTTAAAGGTCTGACTAAGCTTTCACTTTGAAAGAAAGGGGTGAGCACTGAAGCAAATTTAAAGAAAGTTGTCTATACTCCTTGAAATAACAATACGCCAATCAAAAGAATATGGACCTGAGATTCTTCACCATCTTTCCATATAGAGCACCAATTAGGGTTGAGAAAAAAAAAATCTTCGAATCTCGTCATGAGGGTTGGTGCTCTTCAAGAAAAGCTCCAATATGAAAATCTTTACTTTCTTAAGGTTTTTTTTTTTCTTTCTTTAGATAAGAAACAATTTCATTGATGTATGAAATTACAAAAATAGGTAAAACTCATCCAATGGATTTACAAAGAGGCTCTCCAATTGAATAAAAGTGAACTAAAACCATACTGATGAAAGATAGATCAAGGACACAAAAATCTTTTAGAAATATCTAACCAAAAGGACGCAACTTAAAGCACCAATGGGGTCTTTGAGGCACAACCATCTATATTGGTGAGAAAGGAGATTGCAACAACTAATAAATGATGGGGTCCATAAGTAATATTCATTTTGCGGTCTCAGGATCATTGAAGTTCCTTTGGGAAGCTAAATCCCAGGAATAAGACTCAAATTCTACACATGACCAATAAAATAATTTCTATTGTTTGGGTATCTCGTTCCCATTTGTCATACAAATATCCTTGTGAAATATCATATTTTCATTGTTGCACACTATCAACTTGATTATATCCTTTCACAAAACTTTAGAATATTTGACAAGGCAAGGCCTAGACTACCACTCTCCTTAGAAACTTCGTATTTAGAAGTCATCGCTCCCTTCTAAAAAGCATTTTTCTTGCATGAGATTCTGCACAGCCATTTAGCAGAGAGATTGAACTTTTACTAATATTACCTAATCCAATGTCCCTAAGATAATCCTGTCTTACTATTTTCCAATTGATTAAATAGGCACCTCCTTCCTTCTTGTTACCTTCCCAAATGATCTCTTATATGCTTCTCGATTCAGACGGCTACTTTTTCCGGCATGAGAAATGTAGACATCTAGCAAGTTAGGAATTGGAAGGCTGATTAAAAAAAAGGCTTGAAAGAGTTAATCTACCTCCTTAAGAAAGAACTGGGCTCTTCCAAGTTTGAAGATTGTACTGGATTCCATCGATAATTGGAGTCCAGAAAACAAGAGTCTTTGGATATAAAATAAAAGGGGTAAGGAGATTTCCCATCTCATTATAATTGGACCTAAAAATTAAAATCAATGTCTTGACCAGACCAACATTAAGGCTCAAGATAAGCTCAAAAGATTTATCAGTGTGAAGAGATTATCAAAAACCTATAAATAAAAAGAATAGTATCATCCACAAATTAGAATTTTTTACCAATGAGAGAGATTTCAGTTTCCTATCCAAAAAATAAAGAAATTAAAAAAGCAATGAGATTACTTTTGCCAACTTTGAACCATTCCGTTAGGCTCAAATGAAGCCCTACCGGAGGAAGGCTACTAAGAAGTCTACAATGAGGACGAAAATAAAAGGTGAAAGGAGATTTCCTTGCCCAATAACCCTAATAGCATTGGAAAGACGACGTGGATCCACCCTCTCCATTTAGAGTTAGAGCCTTTGGCTTCAAGGGTAGTGTCCAAGAGACTCTAGTCAACACTATGAAAAGATTGTTTTTTTTGTTGAAGATCGAGTTTAATGATCATCACTCCTTCCTTCTTCCTTAATTCTTTCATTTCCAATCATCAATCAATTCTTTGGCAATGAGGCAAGAGTCAATGATTTGGTGAGACATTAAACTGAAGCACTTTGTCTTGCAATTCTCCATACATATAGTCCTTAAAAATGATTATTAATAAAAAATTCAACTTCAAGTAATGTCTTCTGACAACCAAACTCACAACATGTGCATTTGGTGAATCAGCCATGTTCCCAGTGACGCAGTTCTGCGTTAACACTACTCAAGACAACAAATAACTGTCATTATCAGAACTTAATCATCCATGTAACATCGAAAAAGGAAGACATCATTATAATTTTACTCGGAAACAAAATTCTCCAAGTATCCCAAAGATCATTATCACCAAATCACAATTTCTCATATATTGAGAGCAAGTTCGGAAAGCTCTTCAAATATAATTTACAAGATATAAATACACATGAAAATCGAAAGTACTTAGGAAATTTATGACAATATGATACACCCGGCATTCATCCTTACTCCAAGAGAAAAATAAACTACAGCTAACTTAAAATCATTTCTAGATTCAGAAATCAAACAAAGAAAAACCCATTATTATTTACAATGTAAGAACCAATCTCAGCAAACAGAGATGCCTAACCTTTAGACTCCGCTTCCTCAGTTACAGACTTTTTCTGGGCGGCGACTTCCTTCGCCTTCGGCACCACAGAACCACCACCGCTCCCGATCACATCCTTCTCATCCGGAAAACGCACCACCACCACAGGACACACACAATGATGAACGCAGTAATCGCTCACGCTCCCGAGCCCGCCGTCGTTTCCGCGCTTTGCTGCACCAAAACCCCGACTGCCCATGATCAGGGCATTCAGTCCCAATCTCTCCACTTCCAAACACAGCCTCTCTCTCATATCATGATCCTTSACTATGTGAATCTTGTATGGAATCTGAGCATCTTTCAAGGGCTTAGCTATATCGGCAGCTTTCGAGGCAGTGAAGGCGTCAAAATCATCCTCCAATTTACGTTTGGAGCGCTCGGTGCGGTTACCGTTTTCAGAATTCGCAGCATCCTCATCGTCAGGATTATCACCGGCGGCATCCAAAGTAATGTCAATAGAGCCCCAATCGGCGCCGAAGAGGACGGAAGTAGGGCTGACATGGAGAAGAATGACAGCATCGCCGGGGCGAATGTAGTGCTGGACAGCCCAGTGAACAGCATATGCACTCTCTTCGGAAAGGTCAACAGCCACCCCAATCTTGCGGCGGGCACCGGCGGTGGGGGTGGGGGTGGCGACGGGAGTGGCGGCGGAGGGGTGGCGAGGAGAGGCTGGATGGTGAATTTTGATGGATGGCAGCTGCGGGTCCGGTTCTAAGGAGGAATTTCGAAGCTGCCGCAGAGGATCCATGGAGAAATCAGAATTTGGGATACAGAAATTGTGGGAATTGGAATGGGAAAAGGCAGAGAATATGGAAGAACTGGTCGGGTTCCGAGTGGAGACAAAAGTTTTGAGTGGGCTATTAAATGGGCCACATTGAACTGGACGGAGATGGGCCTGGTTTAGATGATGGGCCCATATTCATAATTAAGTTTAATTTTAAAAACTCAAAATCACTACTATTTTTAGAGTTAAAATAATTCCTAACAAATCATTTATTTGCCTAATATGTGGATTTTTTCTATTGATTCGTTCCTTAAATTCTATTCCATTTTTTTGTTTTGTTTTATAATATAGCTTTAAAAATAATCTAGCTATTCCGAGTTTGCTAACTTCGTAGGTAGTATAGATGAGATTAGAAGGTGCCTAATGAATCATAGCTCGACTACGTGGGTGAAGTCACTTAGACAAGCTTAGTATGAGCCAATGTTAGTAGCCCAACCAAGTGAAATGAGATAGGTTGTATTCAATTATGTGAGACTAGGTGGGACTAATGCTACCAATTGGGGTGTGCGGAGATAAGAAGTTGTTAGCTGGTCATAGCCCAACCAAATCAAATGGCTCTTTCACGTATGGCAATAAATTTAATAGAGCACAATGATCGAGAATGTCATATCAAACACTATCTTATATGCCAGCAATACAGTTACTTGTCGTACCAATATCATGCATACATCTCAACAAGTCATGAAAAGTGAAGAAGAAATAGTGATACACTGTTTACTACTTGAAACTTTATCATACAACCACCTCTTGTTTATTTCGAATAATCTCTCTAATCGTGCCCTTCATCTCTATCTCATTATTACCTTTTATATTGTCACCTCGCCTCCAACTATATTAACATTCATGATGCAATGAAGCAAACTAGATGTCTGTCCAAAATAAAGCAAAAACGACAACCAAAATTTGATAATTGGAACAAATATTTATTTAATTTGAATCCAATGAACTTTTATTCAAATAAGAAGAATTTATATTTTTTGAGGTGAAACAAACATTTAATAAAAAATGTTTATATCTAAAAGTTGAAAAATAGCGTAGAGACAAATATTAGTAGAACAATTATTTCTATTTTCTTTTTTCTTTTCCTCATCACGAAACTATGGATGGAAAAAAAAATTTGCTGATCCCTAACATTGTACCCTTGCAAAATTGACAAATAATTAAACACTGCTTGTTGAGGTAAATAATGAATTGTATGGTAAAAAAATATAAAAATAAAAATGCATGTTGGTGTATTATTTAATATGCACACTTTTCTTCATTATCTGTTTTATTCACATATACATTATCCATCACACTTTTTATACGTTTTTATGAGATATTTATGTAAATAGCATAAAATAAATATATTTTTTGAAATATAACAGAATGTTTGAAATTTTCAGAAAAATAACACAATACATTTAAATAATAATAATAAATTTATTTCAAAAAAAGAAAAATAATAATAATAAATTAAGATAAAATACACATTAAATTATTCTAGGAAGAGTCAAATTTATTTTATCATTTCTAATACATTTTTATTTTATCGTTGTCCTTTCTTAACTTACAATTTTCTCTTTATATTTACTCGTCCGCTCCCCATAAATTAAGCCAACGATGTTGATCTTTCCCTATAAAACAAAGAAATGTGACCGTAGAGGGTGGAGAATAGAAAGAGATGACATCCTAAGGACTCCAGGCCGAGGGGCGAGGATACTAGCCTCTTTAGCTCGAAACAAAAACGAGCATCTTCAAATAGGGAAAGATGATAGGGATGTTGAAATCAAAGTTATGGGGGAAAACCCAAAAAAGAGAGCACAAAAGCTCATGTTTACCCCGAAAAGTTTGTAATTAAAAAGGCGATATATTGACTCGAAGAAAAATGTCGCTATTGATCCAGTAGTCTTCTCAGAAATGAATGAAAGGACCACCTCTGATAAGAAGTAACACTAAGAACACAAGGCACTCAAAATGGCTCATCGCAGGTTTCTATAGTAAAAAGAGGAGAAAAAACTAGTATTTGTAGCTACAGCAATAAATACAGTAATCAATAGAACAAAACTTCCCTGCACAACAGTAACTATAAGCTCCTGCTTTCAAATTAATAATTAAGGATGACGAGACATTAAAGAAAATAGCCTGACAAAATACACCCAAAAGCCTATAGAAAAGGACTCCAATCCAAGAGAACACCCCTCATTGATAATACGACGTTTGAGAATAGTGTTGAGTCGTACCAAACCCACCCTAACAATTCTCCATACATACCATGATACTAGTCCTTAGAATTCAAAGACCAAATTCACAACATGTACAATTGAGGAACCGGCCATGTTCCCAATGAGATTAGCATTTGGATTACTAAGAAATGCTTTCTAAATATAAATACCAAATTCACATTTTACAATTGAGGAATGGATTCGAGGCAAGGGGCAAGAACTGCCATTACCAGACTTTAATCATCTATGTAACATTAAAGGAAGCAGTAACTCATTGTAATTTTACTCAAATACAAAATTTTTCCCAAGTATCCCTTACAAAATTATCATTCTAACTGCAGTACGATCGACTCGCCCACCGGCCACCTCACCGATCCTGGTGAGGCTTCGACCACCCCAAGGCTAACTCTAGAAGAAACGAGAGTTTTAAGTTGATAAAGTTTTTTGGGTATCTCCTCAACAACATTATCAGCAAATCATAATTTCCTATATACCAAATACGAAAGTATCATCCAAGGCAAGGAAATTCCACTTTTTATGAGAAACATTCATTCTAAAAAAGTGCAGAAACTCCGGCAAACTGTATGCAAATATATAAAATCAGAAACAACACACAATACATTCTGCCTTCAACTACATATAGCATAATTACATTCAGTTATATGAAGCAAGACAAAAACAAGTCCGCCATAGCCATGCCCTTCCAATCAAACATGAAAATCGAAAACACTCAGCAAATTTAAAACATTCTGATGTAACGTGCATTCAACTTTGCTCCAATGGAGAACTAAACTACAGCTAACATATCATCGTTTCTGGCTTCAGTAAGCAAACCAAGGAAACCCATCAGAATACAACAAGCAATCTCGGCAAACAGAGATATCTAACCTTAAGACTCCGCCGCCTCCTCAGTTACAGGCTTGATCAGGACGTCGTCCTCCTCCTTCAGCGCCACCACAGCGCCGCCGCCGCCGTCCTTCTCGTCCGGAAAACGCACCACCACAACAGGACACACG